TACATGGTTACTATAATTGGGCTCGGAGGCTCGAGACATACACTATATGGGGGGGGGGGTTCCAAGAAAAGAGGCATGCTTAAACATCAAAATTTCCAGAATCTCCTCCAACAGGTAGGTCGGTCTCCATGTGGTCCTCCTCTACGCCATCTAGACCTGCCTCCCCTGAAGGTCTCGCATCGAGAAGTTCGTCATTGCTTTCTCCTTCGGAGGATTCAGGTTCCTTCAAAGTAACGATAGACATGGAGATGGATCCGAGATCGAGCTCGAGGAACTTTTGCCGCATAAACCACTTGCAGAGCTTGAAGCCCGATCGTTACGAATCAGAACCATACTCGACCTGGAGGTCGTGAAACTCGCGGGACTCTTCAAACTCCTTGATGGCATGATCTCTCTCTTGAATTCTCGCCTCCTGAATGGCAGTGTTGAAGATTTCGGTGCGCTCTTTGATCATCGCCTCAAAGTTTTCATTCTCCTGTAGGAGAGCTTCCTTCTCCCCCTTGAGCTTCTTCTTTTCCTCCATCAACACTAGGATCAACTCCTCCTGGCTCTGAGCTCCCTTTTTGGCTCTAAGAACTTCACCCCGAGCTAAGTCCAGCTCGCGGTAAAGCTTCCGAGCATTCTCTTTGGCCTCCCGAGCTCGCTTCAAGCGGATCTCAAATTGATAGACTAATGAGTGGATAGTGGAGTTCACCTAAAAACCGAAAAGCAAGCGTAAGTATCATTGATAGAAGGATAATAAAGTAAACGAGGGGGCAGGTTACTTACCACCATACAGTAGCTAGTTGCTCTCCCTCCGAGCTGACTTGTTGGCATGTCAGCGCACTCCGCGACCTTCGCAGGAAACACGACATATTTGCTCTTAAGAAGCCCGAGCCTCGAAGTCATTATGCTCTCCTTCACTGGGGGGGCTGAGGCTCAGGCACCGAAGTACCTTCGGGCTCGCGAGGTAGGGTCTCCTCATCCTGATCCTCGTCTAGGTCAACAACCGGAGGTTGGGGGCGAACCTCCTCCCCTGGGAGCTCGGCAGAGGGTGGCTCTGGCGCGGCGACCTCGGGCTCGACAAGAATTGAACAGGTGGCCTCCTCTCGACAGGACCTGTTCAAGGCCTTTCTCTTCTTCCCCTTCTGAACACTCTTTAAGAGGTTAGCAGCGTCAACACCTGTCATAGCTTCTGCAAAAGAAAAGAAAAAGAGAATTTTTTAGTCAGCTGCGAACTGAAGTAAGTGCAAAAAGAAAAAAAAGAGAAGTAATATGTGCGTCGAGGTAGAGGCCTACCAGGAGGACTCAGCCCAGCTCGTACAAGCTTTTCCTTAGCTAGGAAATCTTTCATCTCAAGGCCGAGGTCCCTCAAAGAATGAATGACCGCCCTGGTCTCTGCGTCCAGCCTCACCCCGGGGTCCTTAATGGCCACTCGCCAGTGAGTTGGGAATGACCATCCTTCAGCTTTTCGAACAAAAAAGTACCTCCTCTTCCAAGTCGATACCTTGTTCGGGTTATCGAACAGGACCTGGAACCCGGGGCAAGGTGAGATATAGTAGCTTTGTCGGGTGTCCTCGTGCAGGCAGGAAGAATTTTTCTTAATGGAACAAATGGAGCTAAAGATATCTAGAGTGAGAGGTCGGTTATACTCGTGGAAGAGTGAGATTATACCAATAATAGTACGGATGGAGTTTGGGTGTAGCTGATTGATAGTGACATTAAAAAACTTAATCATTTCTACGATGAAGGGGTGGAGCGGGAAGCGCATCCCAGGTTTGAGCTGCTCCTCAAAAACCGTGAGTTCGTAATGGTCGTGGACACAAGGGTACTGACCCAGAAGAACGCTGAAGACAAGAGTATCAAGGAGACGGTAACAAGCTATTAGGGACAACAATCTGTTTGAGGTCATCGTGGAAGGGCCAAAGTTGTCCGGATCTTGACCTCGAGAAGAAGACGAGACCCTCTCTTCGGAGGTCGGCCACTCTACCTAAGGTTCAGGTTCCTCAAGCCGAGATGGCCCGATGTCAGGTAAAGGCATTTCTCCTAWGAGGTTTAAAGAGGAGTTCTCTAGCGAAGAGATGGCCTCACCGGCGGGAGATGAGGACCGCACCTCGGCACCCCTGGGCTCGCTAGAATCACCAAGTAACCTATCTATGCTAGCACTAGATATATTGGACAGGTAAAGGAAAAGGGAACAACCAGTGAAAGAAGACGAACTCACCAAAGAAGGCGGTAACGACCTTGGACACAAGGGAACAGGATGGCGAGTTGAAGGACTCTAACATGATCTCAAGAAATCTCAGTTACACGATTTTTGTTAAGGATAATGGGCCCTTCGGCCCCTATTTATAATCCACCACATCCGACAATCGACGGTTGAGATCTATGCGATCCGACGACTCCCATGAAAACCAGTTGCACGCTACCCGAGGACGAAATTGGTTGAGCGTGCCCTTTGGCGTCCACGGAATTTATAAATAGTGTGACGTCTACGCATGACCGATATGCGACCTGGGTCATTTCATGGTTGAGCCAGATGATTGAACAGGTCTGACCAATGGTCCGCCCTCCAAGTCGCCTAGACTTCGTGCCAAATCCACCTAGACTTGTCATGAACTCCCTGCACCGGGTTAGGACCCCTGGCACGAGGAGTGGGGGGTAATTGATGAAGGGTGATTTGGCACGACCTAGTAAGAAGGGGTCACGTGGACGCGATTTGCTCGAGAGGTGACAACTTAGCCAAAGGAACTCAATCCGCAACAATCAGAGCTCAGGCATTTAGTCACCTCGGCCCAAAAACCACATCGGCGTAGAGACACCTTGACACCCAATCCAGTTCGGGACTAAAGAACCAAAGTAGCAGTTCGGAGCTAAAGAGTCAAAACGCCATGTAATCGACTCCAAAGGCCTCTCCAACGGACCTCGAATTTCTCGAGATCACAACAAGACTCATCCTAGCTTCACCTGAAYCGGAGGAAAACGATAAACCTTATCAACTAATGCATTGCTCTCCTTCAAAATCGAAACAAATCTTATCCGCATAGCTTGGAGATCCTGAAGCTCTTTCGTAAGATCCACAACTATTCTACGATATAAGGACATCAAACCCCAAGACGAAGGTATGCGTGATTATTTACTCATTAACATTCAAGCATGCAAGTATTCCGCTCACATCCACARTATAGAATTGACTTAAGCCTCGAAATGACTTTGCCGGATTAACCACTCGAGATTCTCTGATCAATTATTTTGCAGCTTCGTCCGGCTCGCCGCGCAAGTTAATCATGATTCCCCGTTGGAAAGTGAGCGTGCCTGAGGCATGTGGTTTGGATTCTCGGTCTCCGGTAAATCAGATCGCGAGGAAAGAGGAATCATGATTCCCCCACCCCCACCTAGATTCCTGTAAACAAAAACGATTACTGTGGTTGAAGACCAGTGCACGTGAGTTGGAGACAGGGTGGCATGTGATCAGTCTCACTATCTGTGCTGATACTCAACTCTTTAAGAGGAGAGGAGTGGTTGAGATTGAGAATACGGACTAACGGACACGGATGTCGTCCAAGTAGACAAAAGTACATAACATTTATGTTAATTATTATTAGTTATTAATTAGTAAATTAATAATTACGTGACAGCCATACTGAACTCTTTAATGTATACCTAGGTGGACGTCTGCTCTCGGATCTTGAATCTTTATAGCTCATTAGTGTTACCCATTKAAAAAATGGGTAATATTTTCCTGGATACTTTACCGATGAAGTTGTGTTTCGATGGATCCACATTTTACATTCTAACGGCAATGGCTCTTTATTTTTACTATACAAATTTGCATTTGTACGGAATTTTACATTGATTTATGATACAAAATTACACTCCATCTAAATGCCAAAAAACTGATTGAAAGTAGAATTTTACAATTTTACATACATTCGTATTTACATTGCAAATAAACACCGACAAAAACGAAACAACAGTAGAATTTTACATCGATGGGCTTTTACACTGTAAAAAAAAAGGAGCTTTAAGGGCAAAAGTGGAGTTGAGGAAGGATAATTTCGTAAATGTAAAAACTATAAACCGGATTCCGGAAGTGGAGAATCGTGTTCTCACGCCATGAAACGGCAGAAAGGATATACAATACGAGGTTCCGTAACCAGCAGAAAAGGTATCATATTGCCCCCCATCATGATCATCATCCATGATGCCCATAAAACACATTATCATCGATTCATCATCAACTCCGCTCGGACAAGTTAGAGAAGAACTTGGATTCACGAATTCGAAGGGTGAGATGAGRCCGCTGCCTCCGTGGGACCCCCTCATGAGACCTGATGACCATTCATTGGCTGGCCTATGATTCATACAAATAATCGCTTTATAAAATCCAATAGCTAACTGACAGGCGGTACAATAAACTGGTATAATGGTCCGATCAGTGGACACCTGGCAAGTTATATAGGACCTCAGATGTGGATATGAATCCATGTCCTCGGATCCAAGGTTTTTGGCTTTTTGGCTTTTGCCATCCATGATCCATGATCCAACAATTAGAAACTGAGGCAAGCTGAGAAATCCTGTAACTCTGCTATCTGTTGGCCCAAACTCACGTCATGGGCCCATCAAGTCACGTGAGTATGAATGGGACTGGCCAAGCCCGTACGTTACCTTCTCTCTCTGTCACTTTACTCACTTTACCACGTGCATTATCAGTGCAATTCCTGACCCGTAATGTTTTTTTTAGAGCCCATGGGTCTTAAAAGCCCACTACCCAACGGTGGGCCCACTTAGGACAGAACCAATGGTGTTATCTGATCTATCATATTCTTTGACATATCCTTACCATCAACCGTTAATATGGTCAAATCAGGGTCTAAATAAGTTGACGATTGCAACACCGAAAAACTAACAGTCTAACGTTGGGGAAACGATCATGGCCTCTCATGGGTTGGCATCATCACATGATGATGACGAAAAGGGTATTATGAGTTTATGACCCCATCAACATCACTGTCGTCCCCGCGTTTTGAAATCCCGTTGCAATCACCCCGAGTACACGAATCTCAGACAACACGGACAAAAGCTCTTCTTCTTCTTCTTCTTCTTCTTTCCGCCCGCTCCACGTCCCTTCTTGTACAGAAAAGGAAAAGGAAGCCGCAGACGTTTTTTTAAGAGGAAAAGGAATTGTTAAAAATAAAAGAAAGAAGTCCTGAAGCTTCATTCTTGATGAAAGAAACGAAGGAACCCTAGAATCTGCAAATGTGTTTTTTTTTTTTTTTTGCAGAGAAGTCCTTAAAGAAGCAAAGAGAATTTTGTTGGTATAATTCTTGATGAAACAGGCTCTTAGAAGCCAGAGGATTATCATCCTCTCGTTTCTTTCTATCTCCGTTCTTGTTCCGATCGTCATTGTCTCCAATAGGCTCAAAAATTTCACTGCGTCTTCTGGTATTACTGTTTAAAGATTCAGAGCTTTCGTTTCTCTTCTTTTTTGTTTCTATTTTTTTGTGACTGTTTTGATCGTTTTCTGTTTCTGCAGCACATAGGGAATTTGTTGGGGATCTATCCACCATTGTATGATTCCGTTACTTCATTTACTTTTTTTACTTCCATTTGCTTAACATTGATTTTTTTGGAGATTTTGATTATTCGGTCTCGTATTTGGATGCAGAAGTATAGGAGCGATGTAGTGAGATTACATGCGGTCCAGCAGGTTTCTCTCTCTCTCTCTCTGTATTTTGGCTTGAGTTTGTTTCAACCGATTACTTCATATATTTAACTAGTTGGTGGGATTGGGTCTGCATTGTACTTCAGGAAACAGGTGAAGGCTTGAAAGAGCCGACATTAGTTGTGTACAAAGATGGAGATTTTAATTCTGTAGATAGAAGGAATTCTTCTGATGAGTCCAAGAATAGTGGACATACTAGGAGCAGTGACTTCTTGTTGGAAAGAAATGGTTGGCATAATCCTTCTTTCTTCTTTTTACTCTTAATAGTTTTTGACCTTTTAGCTTGTTGACAATGTTGCTCGTGCGCTCACCTACTACTTTTTTTTTTTTTTTTCTTTTCAATTTTTTGTTAAAATTTTCAGGAACGAATATTGGTCACAGGGAAGAAATTTTAGAGATCAAACGCCAGATTGTTGCACCTCCTACTGGAAGGAAGGTATAACCTTGGTTAAATTTTTTGATTGGTTTAATCTTGGTTAACATTATGTTCTTTATTCATTTATTATTAGTTTTCATGGCCTTATTTTATGATCATTATACCTGATAATCTGATATTGCAATTTTGGAGGAAATGGACGAGCTATCATTATCTGACAGTGGCAGCTACCATTGGGATAATTTAAATATCAAAGAAAGCTAAAGCTAGTTATACAGTTGCCCTTGGAATAGTAATTCTTATAAACCCACCATGGAAGTAGGATTTTGTTGTAGTGAAACACGGTGGTTGTTGAATGGATCCATTACTGTAAGCTAGTTTAGCTTGTTATGAAGTTATCTGGGTGATCATTTCTGAGGATAAAATTTCCTTGTATACTTACCCTTAATTGCTTGAGTTGAACACAAGATTCTAAAATGTTTCCCTCTCCCTTTGAACATAGTTACATACATATGCCTGTAGACTTAGAGTCTACAGGTATTTCATTAAAAGACTATGTATGCCCAACATAGTTACATACATTATAGTCAGCAACTTGGGCTATACCAGATCCTAAGTTCCAAACACGTATTTCATTAAAAGACAAAAGAAGTTAGAGGATTAGAATCCATAATGTACAAAGGGTGCAAGACATCCATTTTAAAGCAAGGAACTAGAAGCAGCATTTGCCTTCAGTTGGGCAACATTATCATGATGCTGGTGTAATATTTTACTTCTTGATGCAAGGCACCTTGTTTGATATGTAGAGAGTAAAGTTTTTACTCATGAAGCAAGCAGAAAGAGATAGTTGAAATGATGTCTGATTAATTGCATCTGCTGTTACTAGTATGGAAAGATGAATCACCATGAATCATCATTTATCAAGTTAAGAACTTGAATTGGGCTCCACTGGTTCATATCATCTTTGCAAGGGCCAAACAAGGAGGTATATATCCTTTATCACGTACACAAAGCTCAAGATTGTGGAAATGGCTGTGAATTAAAATAAAATCTAACTTTTTAAAGCAGAGAAGGGAAGATTAATTAAAAGCTTTGAGGAGACAAATTTATTACCGTGATGTCCTTATTGATCTACCTGTGTAGTATATCTAATTTGTGAGATTTTTGCAATTTGGAATTCAAACTCCAAAAGGAACTACAGAAGTTTTGATAATGACATTCTGCTGCATGAAAAATATCGTTGAGAAGACTCAGAACAATATTGGATTTAAAGGGCTGTCTTATACATTGATCTCTCAGCAGTTTCCTAGAATTCTATACACTGTTCAAATTGCATGAAGGTTCTTCCTTTATTCTACAATATTGCACATTAGTTATTGGAAAAGTGTCTCACAGTTCAAAACTTGTGGCAAAATCCATGTGAAAAATTTGTATGTTAGCCAATAAGGCTTTAGGTATTAATGTATTATGGAGGCATTTGGTTCTTGAGGATAAGAAGTACTAAGAGATTGATTTGGAGAATATGGAATATCTACTTTAGTGGCATAGAATTTCTATCTGGAAAAGCTTAAAGGAGAATTAGGAGACACTCTGGATCTAATTTTCAGTTGTGAGTGCTTGATGATGTGAGAAGGTTTTGCTAAACCTTTAACAAGTGCATTGTTATAACCTAATGCATTGTGAGAAGGTTTTCTCTTGTTTTACATTATTTGTGTTCTCAAGTGCATTGTTATAACCTAATGCTGTAATATGTTGCAGGGTTTAGTATATGCTTGGATTGATAAGTGCATTGTGGTACAAAGTAGAAGAAGGAAGGTGATTTGGAGTGAAATGGTGACTCATGCTTTCTTTGACAAAGCATAGGCTAATACTGTAATTCTTTTTTAGAGAAAGTTCAATATTAGCCAAATAAAAGTTTTACCATGTATAATAAAAATGGTAAAAGTGAAATTGCGAGCAAGAAAAAAACTTAAATCTACATAATGAGGCAATGCATGAGATGGTATTTTTTGATTAATCAATATGTCTCTTGGTGTTTGACATAGATACTAGATGTCTGACATGGTCATTTCAGAAGGCCTTAATACAGTGCTTTTTCAAGGTATTGGAATTTGTGTAATGATTCATACTCCCTAAAAAAGAAAAGGGAAAAAATCATGTAGAGGCCCACGTAAGCCGCCATCTTATTGAAAATTTGGGAAGAACAAAATTCCAGAAAACTTTCAAACAAAACCTAGTGTAAAGAGGTAGTATTGTTACTTATCATTCTTTTCATTCTTTTTTTTTTCCTTTTCCTATAAAATGTTACCATTTACATGTGTTTATAGAAGAATTTTGGTTGTATTATCTTTTCGGGTCTGAAAGGGGAAAAGTACATGATAAAGTTATGTTTGGAGGCACTGGCATTGAACCCAAGGTGAGATTGCAACCGGRCATGAACACCAAGGCAATTATATTGGGTAAATGGCAAGACTTGCAATAATAGAAAACTACTTAAATGGTGGTTTTCAAAGAAAGGAAGTAAAGAAATCTGCATGATGAAATTGATTCCAACAAGGAGGGATGGGTGAGTGAGGGAGTAGTAGATGCAACAAAGGAAGTGGGTAATAAAAAGGATTTTAAGCAAATGAGTAGGTACTCCAGGTGTGGTGTTAGATTACAGAGAGGGTGAAGGAGGAGGAAGGCCTGTGGACAAGGGTTCGAGTAGGGGAATGTAGGGAAGAGGGCAGTTCTGGGGTTGTATCTGTGTAGGCATTGGTGGTGATAGCTAGGGTGGTGTCTATTTTCTGGTGGGTGCACTTGGTGTGGTCAGTCTGGTCTTCTGGGACCTATTTGTCTGATAGGCTTTTCTTGGTCTAATGGTAGTTCTTAGTTTTTTTGAGTTGTGGGCTTTTTGTTGCATGGAGGTGGTTTCTTGAAGCTTTGGGCTGTTTTCCTTATTGCCTTGTTCACATTTCTTTTATGTCTCTCTCATTGCTTTTTTCTTTGGGGGATTACCCATCTGGCTAAACTTACTGCAGGGTCGTTTTGGGTTTATATTGGAAGTCTTTAATAGAATTTGCATATATTATGAGTTTGATGGAAATTTTAGAGTTTAATGGATTTATGTTTTATGTATTATATTATGTTCTCTTACTAATTGAATAAATCAAAGTGATTCTTGCAATGTGGATGTTTGTTTGGCTTGGCTTTGGAACCAGGGGCAGTCCACCCAAGCATCTGTTGGGCGAAATCCAAATGTCCAATCCAATATTCGCAGATTACCTGATGAGAAGATAAGAGAGATGAAAAATCAGGTTATCAGGGCCAAGGCATTCTTGAATTTTGCACCACCAAACAGCAATACAAACTTAGTGAAAGAGTTGAAATTGCGTATAAAGGAGGTGGAACGGGCTGTTGGTGAAGCCACCAAGGATTCAGATCTGTCTAGGAGGTAAAGCATGCTGAGGAAAATAAATCTTAGTTAAAGATGAACCTTCTCTGAATAGTCAAGGTTCAGCATGTTGATAACATTCAAAGAGAAGGAAAAAATATGAATGAACTAATTGTATTGACATCTAATATAAAGCCATAAAACTATGTAGTGCTGTGCAGAGGATGAGAGCCATGGAGAATTCCTTGTTAAAAGCTAGTCGTATTTATACCGATTGCTCTGCCATGGCAACAAAGCTCCGTGCTATGACATATAACTCAGACGAACAGCTTCGTGCACATCAGAATCAGGCAACTTATCTTTTTCAACTTGCTGCAAGGACTACTCCAAAGGGTCTCCACTGCCTTAGCATGCGTCTCACTGCCGATTATTTTGCTTTGCAACCTGCAGAGCAGGAATTTCCAAACAAACAGAAATTGCATGATCGAGATCTCTATCACTATGCAGTCTTCTCTGACAATGTCCTTGCATGTTCAGTGGTTGTTAATTCCATCATCTCAGCAGCAGTTGTAAGATAATCTATTTTTTTCTTTTTATTTTTCAGAATACATCTGGTGCTTGGTTTAAGAAATGTTGTTTTAATCCTCCCACCCCTTCTCAAAATTTTCCTATCAAAATTCTGCTTATGTGGTGGGTTTTGGCTGGATCAAACTGTTGTTATATAACATAGAAAACATGGATAGACCTAAATGGTTTAACAAAAGTATTTTTCCTTTGTGCTCAAGTAATGTAGTGATGTCATCATTTCAGAAATAGATCTTACTTTTATATTGGTGAATCAAAGGAATTTTTTTGGTTTATTTGCAGGAACCAGAAAAAATTGTCTTCCACATAGTGACCGATGCCCTCAACCTCCCATCAATTACAATGTGGTTCTTGCTAAATCCTCCTGGCAAAGCAACAATTGAGGTCAAGAACATGGATGATTTTGGATGGCTATCGTCTACATATGGTACGGTATTGAAGAAGCAGGACTCCAGGGACCCAAGATACACTTCAGCACTGAACCACCTCCGCTTCTATCTGCCTGATGTTTTCCCTGAATTGAATAAAATTGTGCTTCTAGACCATGATGTAGTGGTCCATAGGGATCTGAGTGGATTGTGGAGTTTTGATATGAAGGGGAAAGTAAATGGAGCTGTAGAGACTTGTCGGGAAGGTGAGCCATCATTCAGACGGATGGATATGCTTATTGACTTCTCAGATCCAATCATAGCAGAGAGGTTTGATTCTGCTGCATGCACATGGGCATTTGGTATGAATGTTTTTGATTTGCTAGAGTGGAGGAGACAAAACTTGACAGCAGTCTACCATAAATACATTCAATTGGTAATGGAATTCTCCCTTGCTTCATATTTACTTGTATTGCATGCTTAAAAGCTAGTATGAAGTTACACATTCAAAACTCTCTTTTTCCTTAATTTAAGTGTGGGTTTATTCAAGAGGAAAAAGGACCAAAGGTCTGCCAAGTAAAACTAAGCCTGTGGTGTAACATCTTTAAGCAGGCTCAGGCTTTAGAACAAGAACATTCAGGGTAGAGAGAGAGAGAGAGAGAGAAACAAAAACAAAAACTCTGGAGCCTCTATGACCCCCAATGCCTGGTTTGCAGAGGGGAGAGAGTTGCTTTTTTTTTCTTGAAATAGTTTTTTGTTCGTCTTTAAAAAACCTGGAACTTCTATGACCCCTCCAATGCCCCGTTTGCAGAGGGGAGAGTTGTTTTTTTTTTTTCCTTGGAATAGTTTTTTGTTCATCTTTACATGGATCTTACAACCTTTTAGCCTAGTTTGATAGTCAGCAAAAAATATGGTGAATGGTCCAGGAAAAGAAGCTAGGGGATTGAATCATCTTGTTTACTAACCATTGGCCTAGGATACATGTCATGTTGGAACATGTCAATTTCCTTTCCGTCTCTTTAAATGTTTTTAAATGTCTGTAATCCATTAGGGACTAGAAATATAAAAGCTGACACAAAAGGAACACAAGGAACTTATTAGATGTTCCAAATTTCCAATCCTACTGCAAGTGTATGCTACATATTTTTAATTTGAACTCATACACTACATGTTTTGCCATTTCAAGTTGTGTGCTGGACATAAGAAGAATACATTCTACATTGTGTTTTGCATTTGATATCAAATGTTTCTTGATAAGCACTTCTCTCCATCGGCATGCAGGTTATGTGCCCATTTATCTAACTAATCAAAGAGATTTTTTTTTTTTTTTTCTGTAGCCCATGGTAGGTTTATATACTCAAGTCCATCCTCATTTTGATTCCTCTCCGTATGTCAGTTCATTGTCTGCTTACCACATATGCATGTTGGGATTCCACTACTAGTTCTCTGATCTTGGTTGGGGGGTTGCAGGGTGAAATGAAGCAATTTTGGAGGGCTGGAAGTTTGCCTTTGGGTCTTGTCACCTTCTATAACCAAACAGTGGCTCTGGACCAGAGATGGCACCTCCTAGGGCTTGGCTATGACTCAGGTGTGGGGCGGAGTGAGATTGAACGTGCAGCGGTTATCCACTATGATGGAAATATGAAGCCATGGCTAGAGACTGGTATTGCTAAGTACAAGAGCTACTGGAACAAACATGTCAAATACAAGCATCCTTACTTGCAACTTTGCAACATCCATTAACTCTTTAGTCACTACATCTGTGGCTCCATGTTTTCAGAAACTGCAGATGTCAGCCTAATTAATTCTTCCCTTCCATTCTCTTTCTTGTACATTCAACTTTTTCTTCATACTCAATTTTTCTTTTCTTTCCCTTGTCCTTTCTTTTCCCCAACCAATTTCTTCTAGAGCTGAGCCGATTTAAATTAATAAATGATCAAATAAGAGAGTCCATGTGAGGTTTTTGTAATGCTGGTACATGTTGAACGTACAAAGATCATTTCAGATGTTTTGTAGTTCCAACCACCTCATTTTGTTTTGGAGGAGTTGATTTCCATATGATAATTACTTTTTGTCGGATTTATTTATGCTTCTACAGCCATGGATGGCTTGTAGTTTTGTTCTCTCTTTCATTGCTTTTTTCTGTTAAGCAGGTTGATTTGCAACCAATTGGCACATGACCTCCTGATTGTGATTCTATGAGAGGGTAGTACTGAACTAACTGATCTTTAAATCAGTTAGATGGAACTGCCATGTGCCAATCGTGATCATTGACTGCTGGCAAATGGAACTCTTATGCCAAAATTACCAATGATTCAATGTATTAATGAAAACAAGAGCATAGATAGCCCTGTGCARGGAAATGATCGAGTCCGGATCTCCTGCCCATGAGAACTCTGCCCACGTTTATTGCAGCCACACATGGAGAACATCTCATCCTCTGCATAGTATTATGTAGGGGGAGATGTTCCCAATTCACGAGGGGTAGTGTATTGTGGGCAGGCATGGGCAGGAGATGCGGAGTTGGAATGATTTCCTTATAATCATTTAAGAAAGGGAAAATTTCTTAAACTACCCTTACTGATTTGCTAATTGACCAACTCTACTCTTACTGTTTACATGTCTTAAAGTACCATTTAAGTTTTCTAACAATTTTCTAAAAACCTCCCTTGCTGTTAACTTTCTGTGACACTTGTCACATGTGACATCACGTGATCAATACTTTTTTCAGAAGTTCCGAAAATACCCTTGTTGTTTGGATGATTGTCTTCCATGTAACAAAATTCTGAAAGGGTCTCTCGATCCCTCCGAAGGTACGTCCAAAGAGAACAAGAGGGGGATGAAGAGGTAGAGGAAGAGCCAGGAACACGGGCGAGTAGGATGGCGAAGGCAAATATTGAGGTTTTTCTTTTTTTATTAAATCTGGTAGAGGATTCGAAGGGGGATTTAGTGGAGAGAAGGAAGGAAAGAGGTGGTGTCGAAGGTATTGGTCGAGAGAGAGGGAGTGTATACGGTGGAACAGGGGAGAACGGAGGCAGGGAGAGAACGAGAGAGGTGTAACATCCAGGAGCAAGAGTCCTAAACCTTCTCATTACCCTTACCACTCAAGATAGCAGCCTGGACAGCAGCGCCATAAGCAATGATCTCATCAGGGTTGATACTCTTGCAGAAGTCTTTCCCGTTAAAATGTCCTGCAACAGTTGCTAGACCTTGGGGATCCTAGTAGACCCGCCAAGGAGGACAACATCGTCAATGCTGCTCTTGTCCATCTTTGCATTCCTAAGACATTTCTCAACTAGCTCCATACACTTTCTAAAGAGATAGAAGTCGATACCCTCGTACAAAGAATCAAACTCAATGGTGGTCTGGGTAGTGGACGAGAGAGTCCTCTTTGCCCTCTCACAATGATGTCCTCAGCCTCCTCAGAGCTCTAGGATTTCCACTGATGTCCTTCTTGTGCTTCCTCTTGAACTCTTGAGCGAAATGGTTCACCATTCGGTTGTCAAAGATACCCTCTTCAATGGTAAGGAGGGAGACATCAAAGGTTCCACCACCAAGGTAAAATACGAGGACATTATTCTTGCCAACACTGCTGGCCTTCTTGTCAAGATCGTAGGCAATGACAGCAGTCATGGGCTCATTGATGATACGCATGACATTGAGGCCAGCGATGACACTAGCATCTTTTGTGGCTTGACGTTGAGAACCGTTGAAGTATGCGGGGACCGTGTCAACAACGTTCTTAAAGCTCAGTTTGGAAGGAGTATAAACACAAATATATAGAGTGCAAAATCTTATATTTTGTATGTATTTATATTATGCATATTTGTATTTATACTCCTTGAGCCTAACGATTGAACCAAAATAGGCCTCAATAATCTCGCGCATCTTTATTAGGACCATGGATGTCTTCAGCCGCAAATTGTTTCTCCTCACCCTTATAGGTTACCACGGTCATGGGTTTTGTCACCAGGGCCGGCAATAACGTTGATGGGCCACAACTTGATATCACTCTAAATAAAAGCATCACTGAATCGCCTACTGATCAAATGCTTTGCATCGAAAGAATTGTTGGTCAGGTTCAAGGCAATTTGATTATTCGCTCCATTTCCTATAAACCGCTCGGTGTTTGTAAAGGCAATGTAGGATGGAGTGGTCTTGTTTCCTTGATCATTGGCTATAATTTGAACATGATCGTGTTGCCATACCCAAACATAGGAATAGGTTGTATTGAGAGAGAGAGAGAGAGCACCATTCTTCTCGTAAGAACCGATTAAGGATCGGGCAAACAAATTACAAATTACGCAATTCTGTTTAGTGGTAGCAATTCGTTAAGATTTAGGGATGTGATTCCATTCTTTGATTGATGAATGTAATCGGCGGCAGCTATAACGACGATTCCATCGGTTGTTGTKGTTGAACCACTAGTTGTTTGAATCAACTGATAATGTTTCATTTTGAAAATTTGAAGGGGAATAATGAGTAAAATAGTCTTTTTCATTTTTCCGTTAAGGGATGTTAATGGCAAGAGGTTTTAGTCAATTGTAAAAAAACTTAAGGCTACTCAGGCCTGTTCATTTGCTCTTAAGTCTGACATATGAAAGTGTAATAACTACAATAAAAGGTATATTGGTATTGGTGAACTTTTTTTTTCTTTGAATTCTGAATGTAGAGAACCCATATATGAGAGTTTTTGTTTGAGCTTTTGGGGATATTATTGGAAAATAAAATGTTGTATGATTGCACTTTAAGAAATAAGAGAAAATAGGAAACGAAACAACCATTTTTCTCTTAAAATTAAAAGATTATAGTCAATTAGCTAAACAAGRGTAGTTTAATAAAATTACCCTTTAAGAGACTAGGAAGTGACCTTTAATGCTCGCATGGGTGTCAAAATACCAAATTCAGATTAGCTGAATGTCTTAGATGTGTAGCAGGCTTTGAAACCAATGATAATGCTCCACATCAATGATAAAATACAAGGGCTCATACTTAGAGGTTGAATGATTGTGGGCCCCATGTATTTTACCACTGATGTGGAATGTTATTGTTGATCCCATTGCCTGAACAGCTAAACCTATCTCCAAAATACCTCCATATGATTCGATTCAGTTTTATGATTAAAAAAGACCACAAAATGTTGTGGGTAAGTTTCTATGAGTTCGAGTTTCCTCCTCACACCCACCTAATAGGACAYTGCAGCTACACATCTGAAATATCTCATGTACTTATATGTTATCATTCATGGAAGATGTTCCCAATGCACAGTGCAAATGCTGTGAGGTGGGTGCAAGGACCATTCTGTGRCAAAATCTGGATTCAGTTTGTATGGCCTCATATATGATATTTTTTATTTCTTAAAAAGTWAAAAAAAAAACACAAATTTTAAAAGAAACATAGACTATAAAGAAGTTGTGGCATCCAACAAAATTTAAGTTCACATCTGAAAAGTTCTAGCCTTTAGGTCTTGCCACCTTACCGAATTTAGATTCAGATTTCAGTGGATTCATAGATAGGTTACATGTCCAGTCTATTTTATTTTATTTTATTTTATTTTGATAAATYCATATCCAGTTTATTTTAATATGCCCCAAATCAAATCCAACCCTTCTCTCGTAAATGCATCCTTGTGGATTTAATTCAAATATAAATTGATCCGCTTTTACTTAATTGACTTTATAACTAAAATTATAAATCTAAAATCTTACCAAGATTACCAATTATCAATGTTTTCAACATGTTGTTAACTCGTTAGTCTGATTACATGACTTGTCATCCAACCAAAGTTTCTAGTCCATGAACTAGCTGTTTACTTATAAAAAAAAATGCTGACTCCACAAATGATTTAGTGATTCATCTAATTGAACCACTGAACCATTTGGCTTGATAGTGGGTCACAGGTTTGATAATAAATCTCATTTTTTTTGTATTTTTTTTATATTTTTAGCCATTTCCACCACTATTAACTATAATTCTCRTTTGCCATATTTGTATGTTGTTTAATATGATGAATATATAATATCAAAGAAAAGATAATTTTCTGTAATTTGTTAAATCTGTAAAACATATTTATTACGTTGACCCACCACGGGTCAATATGATTGAATTGCTAAATACTTTATTATATACAACATAGATGAATGCTACGCTAATTATTTATTTAAACTAATTGTTTTGGTATAAATAATATTAAAATTTGAAAAATATGTGATATACATATCCATTGATTCTTTTTTCTTAGAAATTATATTTGTTCTTTATAAATTTTTCTAATGAAAAGCATATATTAGTGGATTAATAAAAAAGGGCAGCCCAATGCACAAAGCTCCTGCTAATGCAAGGCTTGGAGAGGTACAGACGTATACAGCCTTACTCCTATACATATAGAGAGATTGTTTCCAAGATTTGAACCCTGGTCACCAAAGTCACAATGGAACAACCCAACTTTTATGCCAAAGTCCATTCTTAGGTTATTGAGTATACATACATATATACATACAAAATGGTGGTTGATTAGAAATGAGTTAGCCAAATCAATTGATTTAGTTATTTCTAATATTATTGGACATCTACTCTTATACTAATTTTTGTACCTAGTTATTATATTAAATAATTTTTTAATATAATAAGTAGATAATCATATTAATAATAAATTAAATAGAAAGATAATTTCTAGACATCTTTACTATATAATGTGATACTTACCTTGGGTTCATGTYCATGCGATAAAAGTCAAACTATAATATTTTAATTGCATTAGATAATGTCAATGCTTGCAAATGGTAGTTGTACAAATACTTTAATCTTTAAATCGAATAACTGAGTTAAAGCAGTAAAAAGAAGTACAATAAAAAATAACTCTTTCAAAATATAAATTACTTTTCTTTCTTTACCCTTTTATTTGTTAGGGTATCATTGTTGATGCTGCCAAATTTAGAGCCGAGGGCAGTCAAGTAATTTCTGAGGTCCGAAGGTTGATGTCCCACTTGTCAGCAGTGAAAAGATGTCAAAGGCCCCGGGAGTGTTCTTAGGGATGGGGACTTTGACGGTCAAGTTAGCTGAGAGCTCAAGGAGAATAGAGATCACCACAAGAGTGCAAGTGATAGCTCCAGTAAGTGTGTATACCTCTAGTTGCAATGTCCCTTTTATAGTGGGAATTGTCCAATAGGGGAGTAATGCACAACCTGTAACCATTCCGTGTATTGTGATCACGTAAGGGGATATGAAGGGGCGCTGACCATCACAACCCCATGCTATTGGCCAAGAAGTAAATGCACCTAGGACATGCACCTACATTAAGTGCTCGACGAACCATTAGTGGCAGGAATTACCCAAGTGCCCTTAATGAAAAGTTGCTAGTCGGTAATACCCCTGACCGATGCCACGTGTCAGGATCCGACGAGCCAACCAAATATACCCACATGTATCAATACACATGCATAGGGGTGAGCATTCGGTTTATTTGGTTAAAAACTGAACCAAATAAAGCGATTTTTTTAAAACTGAAATATTAAAATGAAAACCAAAACCGATTTTCAATAAAATCGAAATAACCGAACCAAAATTTTTGGTTTGGTTTTCGGTTATTTTGGTTAAAAACCGAATTTAGTTATTATTATATATAATATTATATATTATAACCTATAATATATATTATTATAATATATTATAAAATTTAATTTCATTATAATATATTATATAATAATATATAGATATATAGCATATTATATATATTAAATATTAAATCATGTATATTATATATTATATATTATATAATGAATTTTAGGTAATTCGGTTTTTTCGATTAACCAAATTTCTAAATCTGAAAACCGAAACCATAATTATTAAAAACCAAATTAACCGAACCGAAAAAACTGAACTGAAAAAAACCAAAACCGAAATGTTCAATTCAGTGATTCGATTTTAACCAAATAATGCGTCTAGTTTAGTTTTGCATCCGTTTGTTTTATAAGTATAATTTGCACTCCTACACAATGCGAAGTTTGCAAATTTTGTATCATTTGCATTTATTGGAGTTGCAAATTTTACATTAATTTCCTCATACCTAGACCTGTTCATGGGCCGTGTGGCCCCCTCGGACGGGCTTGAACATTTTTATAGGCCCGTGGGCTTAAACTCGGGCCAAAAAGCCCGGCCTGCAATAAATTCGAGCTGGAACTCAGGTTTTGTCAAAATAGTCCGACCCGACCTAAAATTAGACTTAAAATGGGTTATGTGATTATGTCCATTTGAATAAATTTTTTGATTCAAGAATGTAAAACTGTGTTTTAAAACATAAAAGAAAGGGAAAAAACCATCTTGTAGGCCCATTGTTCATTTAAATAGGAAAAAAAACCATCTTGTAGGCCCATTGTAATTTTTTTTATTAGATAGGGCTTTGAGCTCGGACTCGGGCTTTTTGTCAGGACCGGACTCGGGCCCAAATTATAGGCCAATTGGTTGGACCGGGCTCGGGCTCAGGCTCAGGCTCAGGCTCAGGCCTAGTGTATTTCCATTAATAATGAGTAAAAGACCGGCCCGACCCATAAACAGGTCTACTCCTACCTACCTATCTACCTACTTGGGTGGGCCTTGCTACAACGGTTGGGTTCAAATCTTGAAAACAATTTTTTTTTTTCTGTATGTAGATCTGTCCCTCCCCAGACCCCTCATTAGTGGGAGCCTTTTGCACTCGTATAGGCTTTTTGCATACTAATTAATGGCATAAGACGAATGGCTTTGTTTTGGCTCAAATCAAATCGTATGTGGCCTTAGATGCATTAGAATGGCCCATCAAGATGTCACTTCATTTAATTCAAGGTGGGGTCATAACAAATGTGGCTTGATCAGTTGATACATGTCAATGTGTGTTAATGAGTATTTCTGCATGTTGAAATTCTGATTTTTTTTCCTTGTAAAAATAGATCTAATATTTCCTTAAAAAATGTGGGAAAAGTTATAAATTGCCAAAAAGAAAATGTTTTTTCTTATATTATGAATGATTTTGATGGTAGGAAGAACCACAAAGTGAATTCACTCTCAAAAATAAAATCATGTTTATGAATTCATAAGTAATTTAAATTAAAATAGGGATTTTCTTGTTTTTAGTGATAAGTAAAAACAGGGTAATTAATAGTTATTTTAATGATATAAATTTATTGGTGAACTTGCGCATGCTTTGTGATGATGACCGAATAGGATGGATTAATGGGAAAAACAAAATTATTATAACTGACCCATATGGTTAGGACAAAGCTTAGATGGTTATGATGATGACTTACACATACTCGATGTCTCAAATTCACCATTCATAGTCCATGGATCGGATCAATTACCATTCTCATGGATGTAATATCTTTTTATATTAATTTTATATCTATTCATACTACTATAATGTGGATACTTGCTTTGGATTTTGTAAATTTTAATTAATATTCTACTTTAAAATAAGGAATGATGTATTAATACTTTATAATAAATCTATAATGCCCAAAAATATTATACCAGGATCCATCAAAACTAGTGTATGATACTGGTTGATTGATTATAAGTTTTTGGACAAATTTTTTAAATTATTCCTATTATTTAATTAATTGACTAATTCTATCCTTGTTGTTTAAATATTATCTTGCACCACCCATATTATTTCTAACAATTGCCTTGACGTTAAATTGTAATGAAAATGATGAAGTGCCCCTTTTGCCCTTATCCAGAGGCAGCTGACCTGTTATCTTATCCCTCGCTAGTGGAGCATCATCGATAGTAGCASCTGGTTGTTCTGATGGAAATTACAACTGACGGAGATTTAACTTTCCCTGTAGAGAACCTGTCAACCAGGTTTCCCAAATCGTTTCTTCTCAAGGGTMGGAGACTGCCTCAGCCCTCAACCTCCTCGGTGCCACTCTTGCCCTCTCAATGGTCAACCTCCTTGATGATCGTAATGCAGAGGTTTCTTCAACCAAGCTGGAATACAAGTTCAAACCAGTTTTGGCCTCCACGCCATGAAACCTGATCAATGACAGTGGGTGAGGCAAGGCGAGGTGAGGTAGTACCTCGTCACCGATTGTTGTGTTCAAACCGTAGAACCTCATCATCAACTAAACCAGAGATGAGGTGGGGGAGGGAGGGTTTGGCAGCGGCGAATGTTGTGTTCAAACCGTAGTACCTCATCACCTATTGAACCAAAGATGTAGCGGTGAGGCGAGGTGGGGGAACGTGCTTCCCCGCCCCAACTTTGCTAGGCTCTTTCTTTCTATCTCCTCTTCTTCATCTTCTCTCCAATCGAACAAACTGAATAGGGCTTTCTCTCTCCTCTTCTTCCTATTCTCTACAATCGAACCCCTATCATGAAGGTCTCTCTTTCTTTCCTCCACTCGAATCCAAGAAAAAGATCGTCAAGATAGGGGGCTTAGTGTTCATCTCCATCGTCAAGACAGTGGGTTTTGCCCCAACGGAAGATCTTGTTTGAACCTATGTGAAACAAAAATCTTTCCTTGTTTTAGAAAGAGAAGAAGATAGAGGGAAGAGAGAGAAAGGAGTGTCGGTGTTATGTTGTTGTGTCAAGATGAAGGGAATTGGGGGTAATGCTGGGTTTTAAAACAATTTAAACGTCATATAGTGTTTCATTAGGAATAATTTAAAAATTTTGCCATAAGTTTTTTATGGTATTATATAGATTATTTAGACAAACAATTGGACAAACAAAAGGAGCGTTCTGATGTCTGATCGCATCAATATATTGAATTATGCATTCACCATAGCATTCCAGAATCAAAATTTCTCATTAGAATCCGATTCTAGGCACACCTGGGAGTGATGAGCGATGGATGATGTGACACGTGGAGGGTGTTGGTTGGATATATGCAGATTGAGGATATGGAACGAGGGGTGGTACTTCGAGAATATAATTTCCTTAATTTCATGTCTACAACGAACCAAGCGCACTCCTTGGACAAAGAAACCAGTGCTCTGCTTTGTCTCTGGTTCTTCCATTTTCCTCCACATCGAAGAAAAATGGCTTCCATCTCGGCGAGCACTCCGACTTCATCAGTCGTCCGAGGCAGCCTCGGGCGTAGGAGTTCCATTGGGGCCTCATCATCCCCTGTTCTTGGTAAGCTTTCCAAGTGTATGTGATCGATACTCGACAGACTGGTTATTTTTGTAGAGAAAGATAAGTTTGATGACAAATCGACATTACATTTGCAATATTTCTTCCTTCATCACATGCTTCAGGGTTGCCGGCAATGGAAAAGAGGGGACGTGTGATGTGCTCGGCGGAGAAGAAGCCCTCCACACCCAACACCCGCTCAAATGTGAGCATGAATGCAGCACTGATGGCAGCTGCAACCATGTCGAGCCCGGCCGCCTTGGCTCTGGTGGATGAGAGAATGAGCACAGAAGGAACTGGACTCCCCTTTGGCTTGAGCAACAACCTTCTTGGATGGATCCTTCTGGGCGTCTTTGCTCTCATCTGGGCTCTCTACTTTGTTTACGCCTCCAGCCTTGAAGAGGATGAGGAATCGGGATTGTCCCTCTAAACCCATTTGGGGGGTGGAAGGTTGGTGGACCTTTCTTTGTATGTTTGATTGTGAATCATCCGTATCTATTAATCAAAATTGTGTATTTATTCCTATTTCCTTCTAGCTAGTATTTTTCTCTGCCTTTTCTTCTGTTATATATGCCATAATTTCATTATTTTGAGAATGGTCTAAACCCTACTTTGTGCATTTGTTCTATGCACAATGAACCTTAATACTCAGGTTACTGTCCTCATAAAAGAATTCAAGTTTGATCAGATGATGATATTTGTTTAAAAGTATTGTTATTGGTATCCAAGGCAATTTGTTGGAAAAGAAAAGTTGGGGGCGTAGGGATAAATTAATGTTGGGATTGTGTTGATCTAACCTAGTTTTTTGCCTAGTTAATCTCACACCCCTGGTCACCCAAGTAAGGGGGTGATGGCATCTGCCAACAATGAATCATGTATATCCAGATCTATGTATCTATTAGTCTCAATCAATATAATACCTTTTACCTCTAAATCCAATCAACTGGTATTGGTTCAAATTCATGTGGATTTTGATTGGTTAAAGTTTGTCAAGTTTCATAACTTTCGAGGTATCATAGAGATAAATAGCCATAAAGTCACAAACGTATATAGGCTGTTTTTGCTGCAAATTGAATTGAATAGGTGCAATTTCCTCTCTTTGTTTTGATCAAACTAGTTCAGGGTCCCTTTGCAAGGGTTGAGCTGTGGCATTTAGGTATAAATAGTGTGTATGAAGAAATATTATATGTAAAAGATTTATATACAAGAATAGCCTATAATACGTTATATATATATATATATATGTGATATTTATCTCTTGTCTGTAAATCCTAAAGCAGATCCACCAACTGACTGACTGACGATAAAAAGTTAAAAACCATTACCCCAATGCGCCTGCATCTGTTAAAGAACGCTGGCCTCTTCTATATATTTGGATAGTAGGATTCTTGCCCATAACCTATCATTTTGAGTAATCAGACGCCATGGCTAACCTGATTAAAAAAGCCCAGTTCAGCATTTTATGTGATGGATTTTCCTCGAGTTATTGTAACCTCTTATCTCTGCATAGAAACTTTCTTTTACATCTATCAATTTCTTCTAGAGGCGAAAAAGAAGTAGGCATTCTAAATACCTGCATGATGTGATTAGGGATGATTGAAATTAAATGACGGTATTAATAAGCACTTGTACACCCGCCAACCATAAGGTGTTCCCTTTTACTCTTGCAATTTCATTCGAATTTTTGTTACTAATTAAAAAAAAAAAGTCTGCTACTGGCCTTACCGGGGTTGTTCATCAAATTGATGAAATTCATCATTAAATCGACCCAATTCAACCTGAATTGGTCGTTTTTTTAATACTTTCGGTCAGTTACTTGATATATATAATTTGTTTAACAATATTATTATAATTTTAAAAATCTAAATTTAATTTTTTGAAGTTTTAATCTTTTGAACTGACCATCCAAATCGATACAACCTGAACTAGCTAGTTTTCATTAATGGTTGATCGGTTTCGAGTGACCAACTCCCCAACCTGATCAGGTTGGTTCTATTGCCCAAACAAACTGCAACCGAACCGAAGTGACCCATGAACACCCAAAATCTCCAGACAAGAGGAAGTGGGGACTCCATATTAAAAGAGATAACTCTTTGTAATCTTTTGGTTTTGGGGATATTTGCTAATATAGTGACTTCATAAGATTTAGATTCTGTTTGGTTCACAAGAATATGGGTTTGGAATCAAAACGAGAATGAGTCATTTCAATTCCAACTTTTTGATTGAGTGAAATTGGAATGGGTCATTTTGATTCTAAGTATTTAGTTTGGCAGAATCAGAATCTCATTCCCATTTCTGTTGGAATGGTGTTCCCTCATTCAAAGCATGGTTTTCAAAACCGGACCATACTGGAAAAACTGGRAACTGGTCCGTTTTCCTCCAAAATTGGATTTTCTCCAAAAATCGTTGATTTTGGTCAGCAAACCGTTGAACTGGGCGGTTAACTGTTTGAATGGTTTTGACCATTTTTATTTTATTTTATTTTTTTTGTTAGAACGGGCCGACAGTTCGATTTGAACAGTTGGATCACCTGACTCGGTAACTGGACCCTTAACCAGTTCGATCTCCGGGTCGGTTTTAAAAAACATGGTTCAAAGGAATGACCATTCCCTATCCCTCCCTTGGGAATAAGATCTCATTCGAGATTATTCTAATTCTAATTCCGACTCCTATATGAATCAAACAACCTATGGGAATAAACGGTTCTGATTCCGATTCCAACTACGAAACAAACGACCCTTGGATTTTAGATTTTCCCTTTTCAAAAAGGATCCATTAAATTGACTTCTCAAAAAATGACCCCAATTCAGTATAAACTAGAATGGAGTTTATGAAATCATGAAAGCTGATTTAAGGAGTTATTTTTATAGGAGACCGGCTGAACACAATGGTTGTTCAATGAGTTGTGGAACCAATGATAATGCCCTACCCACAACCATTCAAGCGTAGAGAGAGAACTTCAATATCTATTCTCTATTTTCCGTCTCCAATAGAGACTCTAGTTGGTACCCATGCAATGCATGAGCTTTGTTAAAAGTAATTGTGGCAAAATGAACCTTGCAACAATCCCAATTGAGTCAAGTGAGATCGAGTCCAATCCAAACATTATTTTTTTTTATGGATCAATGCCAAAATTTTTGTTAATTTAAAATTAATTTTTTTCTTACATTATATACTTTTATTAATAAATTTATAGTAGTGTTTAGTTTTATTAATTTTTACTAAGTTTTATTATTTTATATTAGAACTTTTAATGTTGCTATTTTAAATTGATTTTAAAGTCAATAATTTTTTAAATATATTTCTTATTTATATTAAATATAATTTTTAGTTTATTGCTATTATATTCATTGATTTTATCATTATTTTTAAATGCAATTTTAATGGATATTAAATTATAAAAATTAATTTTAGAACTAATAATTTCTTACTAATAATTTTTTTTGTTTTACTAATAAACTTGTGTTAATTAAAATTAAAATGGACGGAGCCAAGTTGGCCTCAGGTTGGGCTTAGAATATGTGATAAGGCTATGCCCAAGGTTGCACTCGTCCTAGGTTCTAGGCCAAAAACATAAGCTCATACCCATTCCTACATGGGCCTAATCTAGGCTTATCAATTGAAGACCGGATCTGCTCCTCACACAGGGCGCCTCACACTTACATCCTATCATGCATTGGGAACATCTCCCATACTTATAAGTTATTATTCACGGGAGATGTTCCCCATGCACGGTGGATGTGCCTGTCAGGCACCCATTTGTGAGGAGCAGATCCCGTTCCTATCAATTGTCATAAGAGCAATGGCCTAAGCTTAAATAGGGCCTGACTTAAATTCAAGTCTATAAATTTTTTATATAAAATAGTGAATATATAAAATATTACATGTCTTATAACATGTACTATTACAAAAAAAAACATGTATATAAAGATTATTTTATACATTTTATAATATAAAATATCACATATTATAATTACTATATGTATACTACACATTTTATTATATGTATAAATAATATAAATATGTGCAAGCCATGTAAAGCTCATGTCAAGCTTGAAGTGTTGGGCCCAAGCCAAGCCTTACGGTTTGTTGTGCTAATACAAGCCTAGATAGTTCTAGATTGATTTCACCCCAAAAGCTAAGTGAATTTTAAATTAATAAATTATTCTTAAAATTAACAATTTTGTTTAATTTTAATTTTACTAAAATTTTTTGATAATCCATGTTATATTATCAAATAGTTTAGATTAATTAAGTTATAGTTAATTATATACTTTATATAAATAAAATAATTATCATTAGTGTTCACGGTTCAGTTAATTGAACCATGAGGCATTTTTTGTATTAATGGTGTATATGAAAAATATATCTTACATTAATATAATATGATGCATAGATGTCATACAATTTTATTGATAATGTATCAATTAAGAGTCCAAAATTCAAAACATGTTTTTCTATTATATTTTAATTATTATATCAATTATTTTTTATTTTACTATTTTTACTTTTTTACATCAACAAAGAGATCAACCAAATACTAAATTCTCTATGTAAATTAAAATATCCATTAATAATTTACAAAACTTATAGTCTCAACTTAAAATATATCAAATCTATTAAAATTTCTAAGATACATATCATATGCAAATTCATAATTTTTAACTTTTAAAATAATTACTCCATTATTATATTTATATTCCTATAATTTTTTAATTAAAAATCTCTTTTTGGTATAAGTGTAGATTAGTAGATTTGATAGATTCTATTTAAGATCATATTATTGAATACTTTGTAAACAATATTTTTATTTTCTAAATAATAAATATTATTTTATGTAATGTAAATTAATATATATGTGTGTGTGTGTGCAAATTTATAAATTTTAAGTACTAAAACAATTATTCTCTTATTAATATTATATTTTTTATAATTTTTTTGAGATTAAAATAATATTTTGATATAAATGGATTTGATATATTATTTATTCTATTATTTTATAAAATTCTGATTTTAAGTATTTTTTTAACTTTTAGTTGGAGGTAAACATAATATTTATTATTTATTTGAATTGCATTTAAGTAATAATTAAATAAAATCTGCATTCATTTATTCATAAACATGAAAGATGGAGTGGCGTAGTAGCTTATAAGTGTGGATGTTAAGTTCTCCCTTAGCTCTTGATGCACTCATATTGGCCCGATGGGCACTAATACACACCCATATCGGCCTAATATGCACGAATGATAGGATGCATTTCCAGTTGTAACATATCCTGTGTTAGACACTAATGATACCGATATAATATACCCCATTATATGTTAAAAATTTAATTAACAATTAAGGACATTTTTATCTTTATCATATATTTTCTGTCTATCGTCAAATGCTTTAACAATCACATGTTTAAGTAGTTTTGAAAATCACAAGGTATATTTAAATAATTAACCCTTTTTTTTCAAAACCCAAAACCCTCCCCTGACCTGCTGTTTCCCTCTAGCACCATATTCAAGTCATTTCCGCACTCGGGAGAAGCTGTAGAATCACATGAACGGGTATAATTCGCTTTATCTTTATACCATTCTCCGTTGCATCAGGTGATAATTTTCTTTTGAACTTTCAAGTCAAGGCAAGTGGTTCTCTACTGCATCTCTTTCAGGTATTTATTTGCACGTATCTGCAAGTTTGT